TTGGATACTGCTTCTAACCTTTCCTTTGTGCTTTGATAACTCTCCTATGGTGTGTTTGGAGGGTCGGAGGAATTACACCCAGCAGTGCTTAGGGGCTATTCCTGGTTCTGTGCTCAAGGGTCATGCCTGGCACAGCTCAAGGGACCATAAGTGGCGTTGGGGATCTCGGCCGAGTTTGTAGCATTGCAAGGCATGTGCTTTAAGTCCTTTTCTATGTCCCTCGCCCCACATAGCTTTTCTTAGCCTTAGCAGAGATCATCATATACCTTCCAAGTCTGCTGACTTCATTGACATTTTGTGTATCTTTTGTTTTTGGTTTTTGGGTCACATCCGGCAAAGCTCGCGGCTTATTCCTGGCTCTGTGCTCAGGGATCACTCTTGGAGGTGCTTGGGGAATCGTATGCCATGACAGGGACTAAACCAGTGTTGGCCACACGCAAGGCAAGTGACTCACCCCTTGAACTAGCTTTCTGGCCCCTCCAGAAGTAGTTCTGAAGGGTATTTGGAGAGTTGGTGGTTTTGCCACTCCATCAAATGCATTGCTAATCAGGAAATATTAGCCAGTTATTTTCCAACCTAAAGGACTATTTATTAATTTCCTATAGGGACATTTCCTACAAAGCTGTGTTTCTCCCTCATTCACATTAATAAGGAATCTTCAACTTTCAAATAATTTGTTTTTAGCCTCCTTTATTAGAAAAAAATATTGTTTTCCAACCCAAAAAGCAGGAATCCTAGTATATCATTATTAATGGCTACTGTATGAGCGTCCTGTACAAACTAACACAAACACAACAACTTAAAACAATATACATTTAGTATCTCAGTTCAGAGGGGGACAAGCGAGAGCCCTCCCCACCTCAAGGGACCCAGCCCCAGCAGCCGACCTCCACTACTCAACTGCCACCATGCTCTAGGCCATTTTCCGGATGCTCAAACCAAGCCTCACGCAGGAGTGAAGTCCCACAGAACCCAGGTAATGCGGAACTTTGTGACTTTAGACTCTGGGCTCAATGGGACCCAGGAGCAGAGATCCACTGACCGCTTCCCCCAGTTTCCAGTGACCCAGGGGTCACACCCATAAGCCACTCCCTGCCAGGATCAGATAATCTCCTCATCGACCACCCTCCAGAACTCACAGCTGCTCCTCCTAGACAGGAGTATAAAATGAGGTGTTTCCAAAATAAGCCACTGGGTACCTCTTCTCTCTTTTTCACACAAGAACCCCATAACCATGCCACCAGACTCTGTGCCAGGATGTTTTGACTCAGGGCACCCCAGAAGGGGGCAGGTGAGAGCCCTCCCTGCCCCAAGGGACCCAGCCCAGGCAGCCGACCTCCACTACCCAACTGCCACCACGCTCCGGGCTGCCTTTGGACCGCATGGCCGCGCTGCAGTCATCATAAGACACTTCCTACTCATTTTCCATAATTACCACACCATGTTGATGGAGTTCAGACAGTAGGCAACAAATCATAGGGAGAAATATATATATATAAATAATATATAAATATAATATAAATAATTATGAGATCATCACACTCAGCTCCTGGGAGAGAACAAGACAGAGTCTCCTACCCTATGCCTGACTGTCTCCACCAGGGCCCAACAGCTGAAGACCACCGAGGCCCAGCCAAGGCCTTGCTGGGAGCACTCTCCACACACTTGGATGAGCCTCACGCATATAAGAACTGACAGAGGAACCCAGGTGTGTGGGACCCGGGGCTGAGATCTCCAAGCCTGCACAGTTTGGGACTGGATCTGCCAGTAACTAGACAGTTACACCCACCAACTGCCGTGTAACTCCAACAACGGCCAGGATCCAGAGATCATCACACTCAGGCCGCGCGACATCTTATCATCTCATTCCTAATTTGGTCAAACTGGCAGGCTACCAAATGTAACATGCCCACACGGCAGAGTCTGGCAAACTCCCCGTGGTATACCCAATATGCCAAATACCAGTAACAATGATGAGTCTCATTCTCCTAACCCTGAAAAAGCCTTGAATATGGCACTTTAAAAAAAAAAAATCTCAGGGCTAGGACGAAGAAGACGTTACTGGCACCTGCTCGAGGCAATCGACGAACAACAGGGTGGTCGTGATCGTGATTATAAATATAAATATTATAATAATAATATAATATAAATATATATATATGCCTCTCAGAGAGCCCGAAAAGCTACTGAGAGTATCTCGCCCGCACGGGCAGAGCCTGGCAGGCTCCCCGTGGTGTATTCGATATACCAAAACCAGTAACTAGAACAGGTCTCATTCCCCTGACCTCGAAAGAGCCTCCAATCATTGGGAAAGACGAGTAAGGAGAGGCTGCTAAAATTTCAGGGCTGGGATGAATAGAGACGTTACTGGTGCCCACTTGAGTAAATCGATGAACAACAGGATGAGAGTGATACAGTGATCTTAATGCAGGGGGTCATAACTCCAAAACAGGTCAGCAGAACAGCACTGCTTCTGGAGGTTCTGAAAGAGAATCTGGAGCTGGGAAGGCGACTCCAAGGACTGATTATGAACCATGCGCAGAAGTTCTTGGTGCAGTCACTGGCCTGCAAGGGTTTGTGTGTCTGTGTGTGTGTGTGTGTGTGTGTGTGGCAAGAACCTCAAAAGAGACCCCTCCCTCGGCAACAGCGCCATCCTTTCTGCTCCTTAGACCTCAGAATCATCATCCTTCACCCTCCTGTTTCTCTTACATCACCATCTGATCTCTCACAAAATCCCATTGTTTTTACCTTCAAAACACATCCAGAATTTGACTGTGCCTCATATTTACCTTGCGACCAGGTCCAATTTCCCAGCACCACTCCCTGGGATTATTATAGCAGACCTCTATCCAGTCTTCTCATTTCCTCTCCCTCCTTTCTTTCTCTTTCCCACTCTCTTCCTCTTCCTCTTCCTCTTCCTCTTCCTCTTCTTTTTCTTCTTCTTCTTCTACCTTCTTCTTCCTCTTCCTCCTCCTCCTCCTCCTCCTCCTCCTCCTTCTCCTCCTCCTTCTCCTCCTCCTCCTCCTCCTCCTCCTCCTCCTCCTTCTTCTTCTTCTCTCTCTTCTCCCCCTCTCTCCATCCCTCCTTCCCCCAGGGTCTCACACATACAATTCAAGAGCTCTATCACTGAGCTACAACCCCAGCCCAAGTCTTCTATCTTCTGCCCTTAGTGCATGTTTGAAAGCTAGAACGATCTTTTCCTGTAAAGGGAGGCATACCAAGCAGTGCTCATGAGATCAAGGAGCCACTCCTTGCAATATGTGTGGCAATGCACAATCCAGTAGTTCTGGGGCCACCAGAGCCACACCCAGTGGGGTTCTTTCGGAGACATGAGCCATCAGGGATTGAACTTGGGGTCCTGCACATTGCAGGATATGACCCCCAAACAAAAGCAAAAGCAACCCTAAAGATATAAGACTCCAAAGCAAGGTCATAAAGGACTTTTCCATTTTCCTCGGACTCCCTCACTCCAGAGGAAGCCAACTCTCATTTTGGGAAGACATATAGGAAACTTTAGGAGTCCATGAAGGGGGTGTGGAAAGCAGCCTCATGTCAACAGTCAGAGTCAACAAGTCATCCAGTGAGCGAGCGGGTTAGGAAAAAGACCCTCCACCCCCTGACAAGGGTCCAAAGGATGAGAGCACCAGAACTTGCCTTGACTACAACAACCACATGAGAAACCCTGGGTGAGAACTCAACTAAGTTGCTCCCAAATGCCTGACCCAGAGAAACTAGAACAGGGAAAATACTGAAACCCAAGCACAAAAATTTGTAAGTCTACAACTGCACCTCATGGTGTTTCACTAATAAAAATAAAAAATAAAATAAAATAAAATATAATATAATATAAAAAAGAAAAAAATACTGGCAATGAAACCCTGGTTCCCAGTAAGGAGCTTCCTGATGTTTAAGATGTGGGGGAAACAGGGCGTTTAGAATTAATGAAATACGATCCAGACCATGAAGACTGTTCTATCTTCTCTGTATCATCTCCATAAGAGCAGGAATTTTTGCCGACTTGGTTCTCTACTATAGGCCCAAGGTCGAGAACAGGGCTCAGCATAGGAGAGAAAATAAACAACATTCTCTGGATGAAAATGGACAAAAATAAAGTTAATGGCTGGAGAGATAGTACAGGGGTAAGGCATTTGCTTTGCAGGTGACCAACCCTGGTTCAATCCGTGGCCGAGCACCACGAGGAGTGGCCCCTGAGCACAGAGCCAGGAGTAAATCCTGAATCCTATCAGGTATGGCTCTGCCCCCCACTCCAAGTTTTTAAGCTTTTCTGAATATATTGGAGGAACTGGGATTGGAATTCATGTTTTTTTAAAATTTATGTTTGTTAAGGAGGTGGGGCCTCATAACAGGATGTGTACAAGTCTTACTCCTGGCTCTGTGTTCAGTGATCACATGTGGCACTGGGAATTGAATGGAGGTTGGTAGAGTCTGAGGGCTTGCCTTAACCCTTGGGCTACTCAGGCCTGCGAGGCAAGCACCTTAAACCCTGTACTATCTCTGGCCTGCAAACTCAGGTCTTTGAATCAAAAGCTGATGCTCTCTTTATTACCCATTCTTTAGGCTTTTGGTTTTTGGGGCCACACCAGGATGCTTGCTCCTAGCTCTGTGCTGAGGGGTCCTCCTGGTGGGGCTGCGGAAACATAAGGATCACTGGGAATTGAATCAAGATCAGCAAGGCCTGTACGATCTCTCTGGCCCAAGACCAGTGATTGTCAATTGGTGGTTGGTAGACCACTGCTGGTCCACAGAAATTTCCTGCTAGTCTGAAAAAAATGTCTACTGACACTAAGCATGGGTATGCTTAGATCAGATAGCAGCACTGTCACATATACTGATACATAGATATTATTATTATAAACAATAATAAATATGAATGCCTGCCTTAGCAATCTATGGAAATTGTTTTCTTTTTTCATCTGTCAGTGAGGGAAAATTGGTTGAAGAGTGTTGACTGAGCAGTTGTTGGGAGGGTCAGTACTGACCTGAAGTGATTAAGTCAAGTGCAGCAGGGACTCCAATAAGCCTCGGGAGCAGCTGAGTCCCTCTGGCACCAGGAAGAAGCCCAAGGGACACTTCTGGGAAGGCAACCTGAGCCTGTAAAACATGGAAGGTTTACAGGTTATTGGAACGATATCTTTAGAATAAATAAAAACTTTCCCCTAGATTTCCCAGAGTCCCAGGTAAGTTGCTTCACAGAACTCCTCAATTTCTGCATCAACACAGATAGCTGTGCGGTCCTTCAGTCTCTATGATGAAACACATCTCTGGCAGCTTGCACAGTATTCAATAATCTCTCTTGGCTTCTTTTAATTGTTTTTGTGTTTAGGCCACCAGTGGTTCTCAGGGTTTACTCCTAGATCAGTGCTCAGAGATCATTCTGATGGTGTTCGGGGGAACTATCTGTCTCAAACAGCAAAAACAATAGTCTCTGGAATCGGCTTTACCAATTTCTGAGAGGTTCAGGCTGCTCAAGAATAAAACTCCCGGGGCCGGAGCGATAGTACAGTGGGTAGGGTGTTTGCCTTGTACAAGGCCGACCTGGGTTTTATCCCCGGTATCCCATATGGTCCTCCAGCAGCGCCAGGAGTAATTCCTGAGTGCAGAGCCAGGAGTAAACCCTGAGCATTGCTGGATATGACCCAAAAAGAAAAAAAGAGAATAAAACTCCCAGCAATGTGCTCAGGAGTCGCTCCTGGCAGTGCAAGGGACACAGTGGAGGTGATTGAAACTGAGTCTCTTACATACTTTGCAAGCTTTGCGTTCACTTAACCTGTTGCATTATCTCTCCAGCCTAAGAACAATTTTTTTAGTAAACCACTGTAATTCCATGACCATTGATCTGGACTAAATTGATATAAATGAAGATGTTAACTGTAATCTATAATCCCCAGGGCAATCAGCAATAGAACAATAACTTCATATGTACATAGTAAAAGAAATAGCAATTGAAATGAAAGGATACTTGAATAGATCTAATACAAACAAAATGAGATTTGAGGAACAGAAGAGAAATAAGACACAGGCCACAAATGGCAAAATGGCTCAAGTCCTTCCTTATCATCAATTATATTTAATGTAAATGGATTAGGCTTTCTATAAGTCAGCAGTTGACAAATGGACAAAGAATACCAATAGGGATCTTTGCCCAGCACAGTGCATGCCAACCACCATTTGTCCTAATTCCCTGGCAGACCATTGTTGGAAGGGCTGTCCTAGGACCCCACCCCCCGCCAACTTCAACTGACAACTGGTCCTGCCCCTAGCTCAGTCAGCAACATTGTCTTTGGCCAGCACAGGCTTGCTGGCCCCATTGATCCCCCAAATAAGATTGATTTCCAGGATTCCCAGAAGTGTGTTGCTGCATTAACTCCCTCCTTCATATTTCATAGACAACAAACATTGAACTCTTATCCTGAACTCACTCTGGGGGGTGATTTATCTGCCCTCAACCACACCCTGCCAACACGGGCTTAATCCTAGCTCAGATCGCCTATTCCCACAAAAACTCACAAAGGTAGCCATGGGAATAAAAAAAATCATAGAAATGAGAATTATAGACAGAGTGTTGGCAGGGCTAATGACACTTGGAATCCTGGCACAAAAACTCTCAACAACTAGTGAGTAATAAGAAAACTGATTGGGATTGCTCCAACCGAGAAGGCAGAGAGCAACACCCAGCTGGTGTCTCCAGAGAGCTCCCTGGCTGGGAAGGGAGGAGGGAAGTGTGAGTCATGAATTAAAACAAGTCTATCTCAAACTGACTGCAACAGACACACCACCAACCTTAGTGACCAAAGAAAGCCGATGGGAAGACTCAGCACTAACCTGCTCTCTCTCCTCTCAGACAGGGACTCCCGAGAGACCATGTTGAGGGTGCTTCATGAGCACATACAAGCAATGGCGAAAGTACAAGAAAGAATGAGGTCGGAAATGAGGACACTATAATCAAAAGTGGCAGAACTACAATTTGGAAGATAAACTAAAAAACTCAATGGGAGGCCTGGGCAGCAGAGTAACAGTAGTGGGGAATAAAATAAGTGAGCTCTAAGATGGGATGCAGGGAGTCTCAAGAAAACAATAGAAGACGGGAAAAAAGGTTGCCAAAAAGATGGCACAAAGTGAATATTCACATAGGAAAATGACAAGAATAAAATAAATACATAGAAAAGAATGGTGGGAGGCCCTTTTTTCCTTCCTTTCTTCTTTCCTTCCTCCCTCCCTCCCTTTTTCCTTCCTTCCTTCCTTCCTTCCTTCCTTCCTTCCTTCCTTTCTTTCTCTTTTGTTATTCTTTTTTAACCACACCTGGGAGTGCTCAGGCTTTACTCCTGGTTCTGTGTTCTTGGATTACTCCTGTTGCATCTCAGGGGACCACCTGGGTTGCTGGAGATCCAACCAAGGTCGGCCTCATGCAAGGCAAATGTCCTACCCGCTGTACTATTGCTCCAGACCCAAAATTTTTTTTTGAGTTTTTAATTAAAATTAAAATGGTTATCTCTGGGATAGGGAGATAGAATAGTGCTTAGGGAACATGCACCCAGCACCTAGGTTTGAGTCCTGGCATCACATGCTCACCATGGGGCATCTCAGAAAGCCTGGGCATCATCGAATGCTCCAGACCCAGCACTGGATCAGCACCTGAATTGACTGGGAGCCAAAGGTGGGGCCCTGGAGGGAAGGAGGGAAGGAAGGAAGGAAGGAAGGAAGGAAGGAAGGAAGGAAGGAAGGAAGGAAGGAAGGAAGGAGGGAGGGAGGGAGGGAGGGAGGGAGGGAGGGAGGGAAAGAAGGAAGGAAGGAAGGAAGGAAGGAAGGAAGGAAGGAAGGAAGGAAGGAAAGAAGGAAGGAAGATCTCTGAGGTTTATATTTGGAACTTGCAGTGGAGAAAAGCTCTTCCCACACCAACTCTAATTCTCAACTGTTACCTCTGCATGGGCAATCCTATAGTGACAGCCCAGGGCCAGCTCCAGGCCCCCTCCTAGAGCCATGCCTTGAATAGCTGCCACCACAGGCTTCTCATTGTTCTGTAGTTCATCTACGACGCTGCCCAGTGAGATGGTTTTGGACTCAGAAGTGCTGAAGCCATGGATATCAGCACCTAAGGACAAAAGATAAAAACAAGTTTGCTGAGAAAGACATGGGTCTTGTTATGTGTCAGTAAGTTAGTAGCAGATCGTTTTTTGTTGTTGTTATTTTGTGTGTGTGTGTTGTGTGTGCATGTGTGTGTGTGCGCACACACATGCACGCTGTTGGGGAGGTGGGAGACTGGGGCCACACCATGTGGTACTCGGGGCCATCCATGCCTGGCTCTGTGCTCAGGGATCACTCCTGGAGGGTTGGGGTGGGGGCATATGTGGTGCCAGGGATAAAATCAGAGTCAGCAGAGCAATAAAAATGCATTACCCATCTAGTCCTTTAGCTGTTTATCTGACATTAAAAAATGCAACTTTGCAAACTGATTTTATACCCAGCAAAATTGCTAAATTCTGCTACTAGTTGATTTTCTGATATTTCTGACTCTTTTCATTTTCTGCAAACATTCATATCTCCTGACTAATGATTGTGTCACTTGCCTTTCCAGTGTTTATTGTGTTTACTTCTTTTTTATAGACCTTGACAGGCCTGGTCCTAGAATATGACAAATAAAAATAGTGAAAGCAGCATGTGTTGACTTATTCCATTATCATAAGGTAACCTTTAAATTTGTAACTGTATCACTTTATTTGCTGTATGGTTTTTAAGTGAATGCTTGATTAACACATTACATACTTATACCTAGTTTACCAAGAATTTGTATCTTTGATATAAGGCATATGCTACCAATTGTCTTCTGCATCTCTTGAGCTAACTATGTGATTTTTTTTCTCTTTCTATCTTTTATTAGAATGGGTTCCACTGACCTTCTAATGTTTATTTAACTCAGTGTTCCCAATTTTTTTTGCTGCATTCCAACTTTAATTCCTTCCTGTTGCTGCATTCCCACTTTAATTCCTTCCTGCTGATCAACCCCTTAGACTCGTGGCATGGTCCCCCCCATTTAGGTGACTCTCACCTGTGGCCCCTCTGGAATATCTTGGAGGCTCAGAGGGTGCAAAATGGTCCCCACCTGAGAAATACTGGTTTAACCAGTCTCGCATTCCTGAGATAAAGATGATGTGATACTTTATATAACACATTTTTACAATACACTTTTAAGTTGGATTCCATTTCAGTAAAGGTAAAGGCCCTCCCATTGTTCGTCGATTTGCTCGAGCAGGCCCAGTAACGTCTCCATTGGAGACTTTGTTGTTACTGTGTTTGGCATATCGAATACGTCACAGGGAGCTTGCCAGGCTCTGCTGTGCGGGCGAGATACTCTCGGTAGCTTGCCGGGCTCTCCAAGAGGGGCGGAGGAATCGAACTCAGGTTGGCCATGTTGGCTGCGTGCAAGGCAAACGCCCTACCGCTGTGCCTTTTACCTCCATTTGATACTGCTTCAGATTTTTACTGACTTGTACCTTAGCTTTTTCAGACTGTCCTTGACAGAGGCCGGGCTGGAGGTTAGGTGAATCTCATACAATCAGCTGGAACTATACCGGGATGGGTGACAATGACCCAGACCCTATAAATGCAACCTGACTTGGAAACAGTCTTGGCAGACAAAGTAAAACAGAGGCTATTGTGGATTCGGGCAGGTCTCTGTAAGATCAGGGAACTTGGGACTGAGGGAAGGGCAGAGACAAAGATAAAAGCCATGTGGCAACAAACCAAGAAGCTCAGGATTGCCTGCAATAACAGATGCAAGAGGCAAGGAAGTGCTCTTCCTTAAAAGAAAAAGGACCTTGCAGATGGGTTGATGTTGAACTTCTAGCCTTCAGAATTGTGAGGGAGTAAATTTGTTGTCTTAACTCCCCCAGTGGCGTTTGTTGTTGTTGCTGCTGTTGTTGGCTTTTGGGGGTTGGATATGGGCCACTCACTCCTGGCAATGCTCAGGGCTTGCTCCCAGTTTTGTGCTCAGGGACCACTGCTGGCAGGGCTCAAGGGACCATATGGGGTTCCAGGGTTCATATACAAGTCAGACACAAGCATCTTACCCATTGTACTATCTCTCTAGTCCCATTAAGTCACCCAGATTGCAGTCAATTGTTACCGCAGCCCCAAGAAATGAATATCAAAAACATCCCACCTTTTTTCTTTAAAGTATAATTGAGGGGGCTGGAGCTATAGTACAGCGTGTAGGGCATTTGCTTTGCACGTGGCCAACTCGGGTTCAATTCCCAGCATCACACATGGTCCCCCAAGCACCGCAAGGAGCAATTCTTGAGTGCAAAGCCAGGAGTAACTCCTGTGCATTGCTAGGTGTGACCCAAAAAGCTAATAATAATAATATAAAGTGTAATTGAGAATTGCATTTCTTTTCTGTTGTAAACACAATAATTTAATATTTTAATATATTATGATATTTATTTCTCCTTTTAATTTTTTTTCCTCAGGGGCTAAGGGGATGAAGGAGTAGGAACTTAACAAGTTTTCTTAGGTTTTTGTTCTGCAGTGCCAGGAATTGAATCCAGGGCCTCAAGTGTGTATGGCACTCTACCAGAGTTACCTTCATGGTCTTTTTTCTCTTTATTATTTTAAATTTTTTGAAATTTATTATTTTTGGTTTAGAGGTTCACACTTGCCTATGATCAGGGCTTTGCTCAGGGATCACTCTTGACAGGTCTCAGAGAACCATATTGGTGCCAGGGTTAGAATCCTGGTCAGCCACGTGCAAGGCAGGCACTCTAGCCCCCTTTACTATTGCTCCGACCTCTCAACTCTTCTTTTGAAATTCTCTAAAATATTCCCATAAAATTTGAATAATATTCTCTTGGTCTTTTCCATTAAAGTTTGCCAAAGAAGTCATCAGGGTTAGAGTTGAGTTTGAGAGATATTTTTAATTACTAATTCAATGTCTACTGATTTTTTTGAGTCAATTTTGGCAAGCTATTATTTTTCTACTTGTTCATAATATGTTCATTATTATGAACATCGTATCTTCATTGTTTATGGCGCCTGCAGTAGTAACTCTTGCCACTCTTTAAACAGCCTACCAAGGCCTTCCTTTTAGCTTGACTGGTGTCTCCAAATGTGTCAACCATTAATCTGTCAAAATCTTTTGACATTTTTCTTCTTATTTACATTTGTTTTCTAGCTCCTTTACTATTGCCCTCCTTTTTACTTCACTGGGTTTCTTTCAGTGTTTCCTTTGTTAGTTCCTTTATAAACTTATTTTCGTCTTTTTCTTTTTCTGATATAATCTTACATATCTTTTTCTGGTATAAGATTTCTGTATAATCTTAAGATTATACATTTCCTGCCAAGTTTTCTTCTCAAGTTATATCTGCGGTGGCTTCATTGTCCATTATTTGAAAATGTTTTCTACAACTTATATTGATTTTGCTTTGACTCAGAGGTTAAGAAACAAACCCTTGCCTTTCCTCCAAAATCACCAATTTCCAGGAAATCACTGAAAAAACCATCTCAAAGGCAAAGAGGAAGAGGCAACCCTATATGTTCTCCAGACCTTTCAGAAGATATGAAGTTGTTCCTTTGACCACATATAGATCTAAAAGAAAGATGATATTGTAGTCAAAAAAGGAATGAATGGCATTGTCTTAAAAAGGAATGTCCCAATGTTATAAAGGCGCATTGGAAGATTCTCCAACGCTATCCAGCAAGTTGTTGGCATTGTTGAAAACAAACGAGTCAAGGGCAAGATTCTTGCCAAGAGAATTAATGTTCGTACTGCGCTTACTAAGCACTCAAAAAAAGCCTCCTAAAACGGGTGAAGGAAAAAAATCAGAAAAAGAAGGAAGCTGAAGAGAAAGGAACTTGGGTTCAGCTGAAGTGCCTGCCTTCTCACCAGAGAAGCACACTGTGAGAATTAGTGGGAAGGAGCTGGGCTGCTGGTACCCATGCCCTGGGAATGCATGGCATGAGAGTGTTTTATTGGATTGATTTTTTTTAAATAAAAAGAGTTGGGGCTGGAGCAATAATACAGCCAGTAGGGCACTTCCCTTGCAAGAGGCTCACCCAGCTTCAATCTCTGGCACGAGTATGGTCCCCCAGCCCTTCCAGAAGTAATCCCTGAGCTCAGAGCCAAAAGTAAGCCCTGAACATCCCTGTGTGTGGCCAAAACCAAAGAACTTTAAGCAAAATTTAAAGACCTCTGGACTATTAAAAAATTTCTGAAGCTAAGGATGTAGCTCACCGATACAATCTATCTTATGTGTATGAAACCCTTGGTTCCATACACACACACCCCGCCCCCAAATTCCCACTTAACATTTTTGTCACTGATTTCTAGTTTAACACAGTGCCATCGGAAAGTGTATTATATTGAGAAACTTTTTTACAGTTCAGTAACAGGTCAATTTTTATATATTTTGGCAATATGAGAAAGATTTTATTTTCCACACATGGATTATATACAACAAAGCTGCTTTGTAAATATTAAAATTGCCGACCAACTACATCTAAAGTGTTCCTATCACAAGAAGAAATGATTCTGTAATGTGAGAAAGGTGTTAGCTAATACTACAGCGCCAAACATCTTCTAATATAAATGTATCAAATCAGTATGTCATATAAATTGGTCCCTCAGGTTCTGCCAGGAGTGATCCCTGAGCACAGAGCCAGAAGTAAGTCCTGAGCACAGCAAGTTTGGGTCCAAATCCCTCTCCCCCTCACCCAAAACAAAAACAGACTTAGCCAAATTCATCTAGGGTGAGAGTTATGCAAACAGGCCTAAGCCTGCAGGTATAACAGGCAAGTGTGGACTGGTCCCCAATCCTATAGAACACAGTCATCAGAGTCCTTTCTTTGTCTCTCTTGTAAATCACTTTTTCTCAACAGTTTGTGGTTCCCTTTCAAGTCTCCCAGATCCATTACTCACTAAGGTATTACCGCACGTGCAGCTGGGTTATACGGGAGTGTTAAGACACCGGTTACCTGCACTGAATTTGCCGTCTGCTCCACAGATCACCACAGCTTTCACGGAGGAGTCGACTGCCGCTTTCCTCAGCCCCTCCTTTATTGCCAGGAGTACAACCTGACTGAAAGAAACAAGATTACAGGAAACATTGGTCAGAATGAAAGTTCTCCCATCTTAGAGCTTTGTCCTTTCCCAATGACATAGGAGAAACCCAGGATACCACAACCAAGTAGGGTGACCCCTCACCACAGCAGCAACAAAAAGGGAGGGAAGGGAAGGGAAGGGAAGGGAAGGGAAGGGAAGGGAAGGGAAGGGAAGGGAAGGGAAGGGAAGGGAAGATGCATTATTTTTTGCTTTTTTTTTTTTTTTTTGCTTTTTGGGTCATACCCGGCAATGCACAGGGGTTACTCCTGGCTCTGCACTCAGGAATTACTCCTGGTGGTGCTCGAGGGACCATACGGGATGCTGGGAATTGAACCCGGGTTGGCAAAGTGGAAGGCAAATGCCCTACCTGCTGTGCTATTGCTCCAGTCCCAGAAATGCATTCTTAAAAAAACATCCAGGCACTTATCATAAGGCTTGTTCAATAAATACATAGAGTGTGAATTAAGTACTGAGCTGAGCAAAGGTCCTACAAATCTGACGGTGAGATCTTGAAGGATTGGGTGTGATTTTCTTTTTTCTTTTCCTCCTTACTCCTGGCAGGAATGTGATCCCTAGATCAAGAGCAGCCACTGTAGACGGGGACCTGGAAGCCATGTTTTGAAGATGGCAAAGCAAAGACGGAAATGAGAGCAAGACGCCAAGGCCAGAGAAACCAAGTCTTTCTTATTTAGTCTGCTATTATTTTGAGTTTTCTGTCACTGACAGCCAAGCTTAACTAACTTAGGAGGCAAAATCATGGTTTGGAGGATTAGACGGCATGGAAAGGAATTTTGCCAAATTTTAGCAGCTGACATTGACAATAGATGAGAGAGTTCAGGCTAAGCAAATCTGAATGAGTCTGTTAAAGAGGTTGAACAGTGACTGAGCACAAAGGAAACCCAAAGTCATAAGAACAGGAGAAGAAAGGAAGAAAGTTTGCCAAGAATTGAGGAAGTGGTAAGTGTCAAAGAATGGAGAAGGGGAAACTGAGGAAATGTGGGAAGGAACTACCTAAAGGAAAATATGTAACCAGAGTCCAATCAGAATTTGTCTTGCAATTCTGAATATATCAGGTAAAATATCTGTTCTTTAGATTACAAGATTTCGGGGCCACCACAATAGGACAGTGATAGTAAGGTGCTTGACTGACACGAAGCCAACTCAGGTTCTGTCCCCAACAGCCCCTTGTGATCCCTGAAGCCCTACCAGGAGTGATCTCTAAGTGTAGAGCTAGTAGTAAACTCCAAGCACCTCAGGATATGTCCACCACCACCACCTCCCCACCCTGCCCCACCCCCGGTGGGGTGTGTGTGTGTGTGTGTGTGTGTGTGTGTGTGTTTGGGGGAAGGGGGAAGGGGGTCTGGGCCACACTTGAGTGTGCTCAGAGATCACTTCCATGTGTTACTCAGAGCTTATTCAGGAATCATTCCTGGCAGTGCTTGGAAAACCGTACGTAGATGTGCCGAGAATGGAACTTACTTTAGCTGCATTCAAGGCAAGTGCTTTAACCCCCGTACTATCTCTCCAAGCCTAGAATACAAGATTATAGGATAGAAAAATCTGGCTTGCTTCTCAAGCCCGTGTTCTCCCTTGAACAAGATTCCTGCTTGCTTGTCTCGATGGCTTTTTTGCTTGCTTATTTCCAACTCTGGAGAAGCCTGTGTTCTTGAAAACACTTCCCCCTTTCTCTCCCCTCAAAGGTTTCTAAATAAGTTTCAATAAAAACTATTGTACTTCAAAAAATAAAGAGAAATCTTAAAACAAAATACAAGAATAAATTTCTATAAAAGCCAGGTTGCTTAGACCAACAAGTATGAGTTAAAGGAACAAAGAAGCTATCTGCCCTTATAGATAATTCCCTTTCACCTACTTTTCATTGCTTCACCCAGATAAACATCAAACCTCTTGGCTTGACTGGTTAATAAGAAACCAAATCTCTGCATAAAAAAATAGAATTTGAGTCATCTGTCAGCCTGGAAAGTCCAAAAGGCACATCTTTCCTCCTGGGTGACAGGACAACCAGCCAAATGAAGCTCAGTCTGCCCCTGAGGAGACGAGGGTGGCATTTCCTATTTCAACCACACTCAGCTCTTTCATATCTCATGTTCTCGTTAATTTTGTAAAAACTACACATGAGGGAAGAAATGAAAATGGCAGTAAAAGATAGAGCTTTATTAGATTCAGGCCGAGGAAACGGAACACAAACCTTCCCTAGGATCAAGGTCGCCAGGGTTAGCAAATGATTTTCTGGGGCCAGAGAGATAGTACAGCAGGTAAGGCAGCTGACCCAGGTTCAAGGCCTAGCACCCCAGATGGTCTCCTGAGTTTGCCAGGAGTCATCCCTGAGTGTAGAGCCAGGAGCAAACCCTGAACAGCTGACCCAGGTTCAATGCCTGGCACCTCACACAGTCTCCCAAGCTTGCCAGGAGTGATCCCTGAGTGCAGAGCCAGGAGTAAACCCTGAGCACAGTTGGGTGTCCCTCCGCCCCCCAAAAAATATTTTCTGGCTCAGGGAGATGGTGCAATGATCTGAGTACATGCTTTGCAGAAGTCACAGATTCAATCCCTGGGAACTTCATGGGCTGTCAGCATTGTCAGGAGTGACCTGAAGCCCAGAACAGGGAGTAGTCCCTGAGACCCAGGGACAGTCCAAAAATCACTAAAAAAATTTGTTTTCTCCCTCTAACATTGCCAGATTTGATGAAATAGAGTCTAAAGTAGATACAGTCATTGAAGGGCTGACAAAAATCCTTTAGTTCTGTGAGCATAGGAAATCTTTTATTTTATTTTATCGTCCCATTTATTTATGGGTTTAGGATCACACCCATCTGTGCTCAGGGGTCACTCCTTGATGATGCTCAAGGGACCATATGTAGAGCTGGGCATTGAGCCAGGGTCAGTCACATGCAAGGCAAGTGCCTTTACCCCTGTGTTGTTTCTTTGGCTCCAGCGGTCTCTTTAAACAAAAGAGTATGAAATCAAGTTGCAGCTGAGAGCCAACACCGCTTAAAACAAAGAAACATAAGAGAAAATTGAACCCATCAAACTCTCCAACATGTATGGATGCTTTGTTTTATGAAACTGTACTATAGTATGTATGTATGTATGTATGTGTCCTAACTGTGATGTAAACCCTAGGTTCCTTATTATGTCGATTATTTTACTTTTAAAGTATGAAGACCTCCGATTGATCTGAGAGACAGCCCTCGTGATTGGACTTGCTCTGTGCTGGTTAGGAGGTCTGGGGTTTATCTGACTGGAGGGGAAGCTGGCAGGCTCAACTAGAGAAGAAGGATTTAAACTGGCTGGGCACCAAGGTCACTGCCTTAAGTGCATGAAGAAACCCTCAGTGGGCTCCTCTTTAAATTTTTTTTTAAGTTTTTTGGGTCACACTGGTGATGTTTAATGCTACTCCTGGCTCTGCACTTAGGAATCACTCCTGGCGGTGGTGAGGGCACTATGTGGGATGCTGGGGATCGTATTCAGATGCTGCCTTGCATGCAGCTGACCTAAGTTTGATCCTTGGCACCACATATGGTTCCCCAAGCACTGCCAGGAGTAATTCCTAAGTGTAGAGCCAGGAGTATGTTCTGAGAACTGCCGGGTGGGGCCCAAAATTCAAAAGAAAAAGAAAACTGAAACGGGCTAGAAAGAGATAATTATTGACGTAAGATTAGAAAGAGAAAAGGAGAAGGAAGGAAGAAAGGGAGGAAGGAAAGAAGGAAGGAAGGAAGGAAAGAAGGATGAAAGCCTATTTAACTCAATGAACATCTTGGGATATACACATCCATGGAAATAAGAGTTTTCGTGAAAAGCCACAGGAAAGGGAAGGAAGGTGCATTCCCAGGTACCAAAAAACCTGATTATGCTAAAAGAGACGCTGAGCAGGTTGTTTGGGGCTCAAAACAAATCTGGAAAAAAAAACCAGAAATGGCAGCTACCACCTGTTTGATGCCAGTTTGTAATATCTAACATATTTAAATCTCACAATAACTTTATGAGGGAGACACTAAGATATTATCCTACAAGGTTTGGGAAGCAGGTTAAATATCAAAAACATTATATTGTATATGTTTGGGTGTGGGCAGTACCTGACGGTGGTCAGGAGCTTTTCCTAGTTTTATGCTCAGTAGTGACCCCTGGAAGTGCTCGAGGGACTAACCACATAAGGAGCCAGGAATCTGAACCAGGATGGCAGTTGGCACAGGCACACAGGTAAAAGGCAAGTTTTTATTCTTGGTTTGGGGACACATCTGGCTGGGATTCAAACTAGGAACAGCTGCTTGCAAAACAAGTGCCTTACCCCACTGAATTATCTCTCTGCCCCCACCAGAAACATTTTAAGTAGTTACAGAAACTATTCCAAGTTATGGATACAAGACTATGAAACTTTTCAACCCTAAGTTCTTGATAGCCACTGTTTTCTTCTTTGAGTCAGGGATGAGGCAGAAAGCTTTTATGTAGCAGTCAGGATACTGAGAAATCCAAAAGTGATATGTAACCATATTATCTGTGCATTTCTTCAACAAAATAAAATAGTGTGCTTTTTTTTTCTTCTGAGAATGGCAAATGGAGGTAACATTCTTATTGATTTTATCACACAATTCTTTTTTGCTAGATGTAATAATTCACAACTATAAAATTAATAGTAATGATAAATCCAGTCTGGTGACAGTGAGATAAAATTAAGGCCAAGGGATTAGAGAGATAGCATAGGAGTAGGAAATATGTAGGAGAAACGACAATCCCGGTTCAGTTCCCAGTGCCAAGATGGTCCCCAAAGCACGGCCAGGAGTGAACCCTGAGCACAGAGCCAGGAATAAGCCTTGAGCACCACTAGGTATATCCCGCCTCTACCCCGACACACACACACACACACACACACACACACACACACACACCCCAAATTATTTTCAGGTAAAAAATGTCTCCGTTACTTGGCAGTAGAGACAACACAGGGTCCAGGCATGTGTGCAAGGCCTGAGTGCCTAACCTCTGAGCATCATATACCTTCTATCTGGGGTACTGTCCTAGAGGCTCCCAGCAGAGCTGAACTCAAAGATCCACTCACCCACTACCAGAGCCTTGAACCCTCTCACCTGGTGAGCTGAATATTTTTTTTCTTTTTGGGTCACACCCGGCCATGCACAGGGCATATTCCTGGCTCTGCACTCAGGAATTACTCCTGGTGGTGCTTGGGGGACCATATGGGACGCAGGCAATCGAACCTGGGTGGCCACGTGCAAGGCAAACGCCCTACCTGCTGTGCTATGACTCCACCCCCTCATGAGCTGAATATTGACCCCAGATCACCCCGCAAAGGCGAGCAGGTCCTCTCATTTCAGTCTCTTTCTGTTCCAGCAACATATGATAAGAATTTTGACAAAAAACCTTTCTCTATGCCTTACATTTTTGGTAAATTACTATTTCTGCTGATAGATTGGTGCCATCACCATCATTTTCCCCTCAGAGAAGTGGAAGAACCAAACGTAAATAATAAGTTGACTTTCTTCCTTTCTTTCTTTCTAAGTTTTAGTTTTTTGGTCACACACATCCAGCGATGTTCTAGGGTTACTCCTGGAAGGGCTCACTCAGGTGACCTTATGGTGGATGCCCAGAATCGAACCCGGGACAGGTGCAGATGTGCAAGGCAAGCACTTTCGCTGCTGTTCCCTCGCCAGTCCCTTAAGCAGCAGCGTTACTCTCACTTTTAAAAGTAGCGCTCGCAAATGCACCGCACCTATAGGGGCACGATGAAATTAAAGAAAATCAAGAGCAGAGCGGTTTTTCAGAAAATGCAACTTGACAGATCCACTCCAACCTAGCTCGTCCAGTGGGGCCCTAAGGCCCTGCGGTGTGGAACCAGCCCAGGAACCGCAACTGCATTTCTGGGCCGGGGCACGTGTCATCAGTCCGCCCTCGGCGCGCTGGCATTAACACCGGAACCTTGAGTTCTAAAAAAAGACGGGGCATTTTATCGTCGGATTCCCCAGGGTTCTAGTTGCGCCCTTGCACCGGGCCTGGAGGCAGGGAAGCGAGGGGGCAAGGTGCAGCCGGCACTCTGGGAAGATCTTTGGAACCCAAAGGCCACCCGGGAGACGCCAAGGCTGCAAACAAACACGGGTTGCAGGCTGGCAGTCAGAGCCCTTCGCTGCTCCTTAAGCAACTCCCCCTGACCCCCGTTTCTCCCCGGGGTGAAGCCTTAGCCGAGATGAACTCAACGCAACTTGTTTGCAAGTTCAAGGCGGCCGGCACACGTGCCCTGGTCTGATCCCCGTCCGTGTCTCTTTCTCTTGGCGATTCCAAGGGTGCGCGGGGAGGAGGAGCCGTCGGAGCCTCCTCGGTGGGCTGCGGGATTACCTGAGCGCGTTGACCGGGGGGTTTCGCAGGCGGATGAGCGCCAGGCTGTTGGGCAGCCGCTTGTACTCGGCCATGTCTGCTGGACCGTGGCCTCGGCCTGGCCCCGCGGGCCGCTGCCCCCGTCCACCCGCGCGCGCCGGGCCGGCCCCGCCAGGAGGGGCACCCGCTCGACCAATGCGCGCCCGGCGCCGCCTCCAGGCCGCCCGCGCGGGGCCGGCCCCCTGCCCGCCCCCCATCGCCGAGGGACGGATAGGATGGCCAGGGGGGCCTCTGGGCCCCCCGGAGGCTCCCCCGGCCCCGAACGCGGCTCCTCCAGCTGGGTGCGGGAGCTTCGTGGCGGTTTTTGTCCTTCTCGGGAGATTGGCAGCAACTTGGGAACGTGCAGACCAACCCAAGTGACCCGACAGTCCCCGGCTTAGGGAAAAACCTGCGTTTCTTGTCTGCCCGGTCGTCCAGCTCTCTTTGGGGCCCCGTTGCTAAGGATGGTGATTGCAAATTCTTCGCGCGTGGATGAACTCAGCGCCGAGTGTGTATCCAGGCCCGCGCGGGAGATCCAAGACTCAAAAAAAAAAAAAAATAGCTTTCGGTACTTCCCTCCCAAAGTGCAGGCTGGAAAAAAGGTTTGTTTAGAGGCAGCTGGAGATGGGCGCTTCCACGAGGTCAGAGGACAGTCTGGAAGCAGATAGAAAAATCCTGGAATGGGAACCAGAGGCGTAGTAAAGGCCTGAAAGTGCCCTCCTTGCAACGAGATTGACCCCGCTTGGGTCCCTGGCACCGCATATGGTCCCCTGAGCATTGCCAGGAATGATCTCTGAGCACTGCTGGGGTACAGCACACACCCCACACTCTCTCTCACACACACACACACACACACACACACACACACACACCATAACAACAACAACTGAAAAACATGTTTAAAAACAATGGAATAATTTTTATTCACTGTGTCACAAATCTTGAGGATAATTAAGGACTATTTTCTTTTCCATTTCTTCCTTTCCTCCCTCTCTCCACCTACTCCTGGCACCATGGGTTAGTCTGGGGGGCCATGACCAGCAGTACTGGAACACCCTGAGGTGCCAGGGATCCAACCTGATGCTACCACATGCAGAGCATGCAATTCAACCCTTTGAGCCATCTCCTTGACCCCACACCCCTCATAACTTTTTTTTTCCTCTCTTTGGAAACAAAAGCAAATTTGACAGCTAGGGAAGTTATAAATGCTTTGAAGCTCTGGAAACGACAGCAGTCAGAAGACCATTGTTTCAGCGCCAACCAGTCAAGACAGCGTCCACTTCTGACAGCCAATCACAGCAACCCAAAACACACCGGCTGAGTGTCAAGGAGGAACAACAGCCAACTCCCTACGGGTAAAATGTGTCTGAAAAGTCACCCGCTCTCCATCTGCCACTTTGCCCCCAAAGCCAGTGTAAATGTGAGCAATAATGCTCTACTCAGAGAGCCTGTGGTGACCCGCATAGTTTGCTCTTATGCGAAGAAGCAGTAAATCCAGTTATGTTTTTGTTACAGATTCTGGTTTTCAGAGGAACACTATGGCCTGCTAGCTACATTGACTATCTCTGCAAAGGTCTTTTAGGCAAGGCTTAGCTACTCTGAACGGCTGAAATCTCTTCTGGAGCAAAGGTTCCTGAGCACAGTGGCATGCTTTATTGAACTATTCTTCAGGCTTATTAAAAGTATATGACCTGATTGATGGCAGATGCAGAATACAAAAAAATGGAAGTTGATTATCATGGCCCTTTTCAAACAAGCCAGAGCATGTTCGGAACTACCAGAACTAACATCATAGTCAGAAATCCAAAATCTAAAACTTGCCATTTTAACCTGTCCTAACTGATTGAAAAAACAGTGAGTGAGTAACACTCGTCCACAGTGAAGTTGACTAACATTGGAGGAGAAAAGCTTCCAACATAGTGTTCGGAATAAAAGATGGAACATGATTAATTTCTTTACAATCCTGATAATGTGTTGGCGATTTCTTTAATTTCAAGGGGCTTGCCAAGTGGTTTTTTGTTTTGTTTTTGTTTTTGGTCATTCCAGGCAGGGGTCAGGGACTACCACCAGCTCTGTGCTCAGAGGTCATTTATGGAGGTGTTCAGAGGACTATGCAGTGCTACTAGGGATCAAACCCCAAGCTCCTGTGTTCAAAGCATGTGATCAGTTCATTAAATTATCTCTCTTGCCCTTTAGTATTTTTTTTTAATTATCAAGTGTCGAGTCTTGAATATATATTTTGTGGAGTCTCACCTAACAGTCCTCAGGGGTCACACTTGACTCTGTGTCCAGGTGCCATCCCTGGCAATGCTCGGGAGACCATAAATGCTGCCCAGAATTGAATTGAGGTTGGCCGCTGGCCCCTGTACTATCTCTCCAATGCAAATGCAGTGTCTTAATAATGAAGATTAACTGTTAGGACTTCAAAAAAAGGCAGGGGAAAGAGGTGGTCATGCTCACCTTCCACGTCTGCCACCATGTCAACTCTCTCACTGGTCCTGTTCCACCAAATCCTGACTAAATCTCCAAGGAGATGCACGCCAAGCAGCTAAGCTGGTGGAATTGCTGGCCCACATCTGCCGAAAACCCCAGTGTGCTCATGAGAGACAGGGCCGGAAAATCCACCAAACCAAGGTCCTGCAGCAACAATCATCCCCACCACTACAGCTTAGCACCACCACCTCATGGATATTATTATCTGGACAAATCTCCGAAACATTTCAGGTACTGGCGCCCAGATTGAGAACTCAGGTCTTTTCTTCAGAGTGAGTAACTGTTCCCCCACCCCCATACTTCTGGAAGCCCCAGCAGCCTCCCAACCATACCCACCCACCACCCACATCTCCCACCTTGTGGATTCTCTAGCCCAGACCATAGATCAGGAAGTCTCTGGACCACAGGGACACCTCCTGCAGTAACAAAAAGCTTAGTAAATTCTTAGACAAGGACTTACCCGCCCTGCAATCAGATGTTACAATGTTCACATACATTTACTTTTTTAAAATCTATTGATATTAATAGAGCAACTTTGTTATCTAATCAATTTGAACCCTAGAATTGTATCTACAGTTGCTTCTTTTTCACCAACTGTAGCCAAAAATGATGCTGTCACATGTTGATTATCTTCAGGGTGGAACAAAGTCAGAGGTCAACGGTGGGTGACTGAACACGTTGAAAGATCATGCCTATATGCTGCAACCAAATCTGAGCTGAATGCAGCCGCAAATTGAACTGAGAATCACTGCTATCCCCCAAGTTTCAACCTCTCGACTTAATGGTTTAGTTTTGCACATGGTTTTCCCGTTAGGTATGTCATTTCTGTCAACTTCTGATCTGAAAATAATTCCCGAACTGTCACTTCTTGGCAGTCTAAGTATCTTTCATACTATTTCAAGCATTCTCCAGCTTCCAGTTGCATTTCACATTGGACATGCCATTAAACACTTCATGTTCATGCTGTCCAGATTTTTCTTACTATAGTATTTTACTGGGAAAAGAAATGCATTTGCCCCTTCAGCATTTTTGAAAATATTGGCACTTAAGGGCCATAGAGATAGTACAGTGGGTAAGGCACATGTCTTGCACACAATTGACCTGGGTTCAATTGCCTGAACCTCGTGGTCCCCTGAGCATCACTAGGAGTGACCCCTGAGCACAGAGCCAGGAGTAAGCCCTGAGCAACACTAGGTGTGATCCAAGGAACAAACAAAAGACAAACTGGCACTATGTAGAAAGCACTACACTGACATACATTTGAGAGAGAGTTTTGGTCCTTTAGTGTAATGTTCCTTATAACATAGGAATGCCTCAATCACAGCCCAAGTACAAGAATACGTCTGTCTTGAATGCTGTCAATGATATCAGTACTCTAAATAAGGGAGATCGGTACTCTGAAAAGGTTCTACTTTCTTAAAAAAGAAGAGGCATGGGAGAGGAGAAGGGTAGGGGAAGGAAGAGGAGGAAGAGGAACAGAGAGGGGAGGTAAGGAGAGGAGGGAAGTGGTGGGAGTGGAGAGAAGGTAAAGCATGAATTCATAAGACTTTCCACCCCTTGATTTTATTTTTGTTTCCCAGAGTCATTACTCCCAGATTCAAGTTTTGTTAGCACCAAGTTTCCTTTTGATAGATAGAACGATTCTCATCAAACATTTAGAGGTGCTATCAAGTTTGTTCCAAGCTTGACCTCAGTTTCTACCATTTCTTCTGGAATAAGAGATTTGGGGTTTCTGACCGCGATGGGAGTTCTGCTAGTTCTGAACATGCTCCAGCTTATTTGCCAACAATCATGCTAATCAATTTCCATTTTTTTTTGTATTCTGCATCTGTCATCAGTCTGTTTTTGAGTTTAACATTAACTCATGTCCTATGAAAATTTTTTAATCCATGAAACTTTTTTTCCTTTAAATTTCAAGTGATGTGCATTTTTATTTACTCACTTACTTGGTTTCAGGGCCACATCCAGTGATGCTCAGGGGTTCGTGCAGTGCAGGAAGTTTAACCCCTCAGGCAAAGCTTGCATATTAGCCCCCTGAGACCTCAAATGATGAGGAAGTGCCTGTTTTTTCATTAAACTGTAATGCAGGTAACCATACAATCACATTTTAAAAGGGATGCTACACCTCCAAGTTCGTGCTTCTTGGGGGTATCTAATGGTAGGCCTGACAGTTTAGTACTTGAGTCCAGTGATGCTCAGGAGCCAAACGAGATACCCCTGCTGGTGCTCAGGGGTGCCATGTGGTCCTGGAGATCGAACATTCTAGTTTGAAAATATACAGACCATCAGTTAAAGCAGATAGCACCACATTCAGAATGAAGCGGGAAGGAAATGTGGGTCCTGGGTGGTATCATGCAGTTGCTGGAGTAACTGTTTCATTTTCAGATATCAACTAAGCTCTCACTGGTTGCATTTTGTGGAAGATACAAAGTTGTCCTTTCTAGATTCCCCTTTGAGGAAGGGACTTGCCTTGTGGTTCTGGGGAATGCAGCTGGCAGGCAAGTCTGCTGAAAGTTTTTTCAGGGTCTGAAGCACTTGCTGCGAGTCCACATGTCTGATATCCCAAGTGGGATGAAACCCCTTGGACCCAAATAACAGTTCAGTATCTTCCTTTAATCAGTT